TACAATATTTACTGTCCTTTTCTTCTGAAAATTCAAATCAACCTATTGACTGATTGTGCCGGGAATTGTACTATTATTTTCAAAATATGCCCTCAAGTTCAACTATTTATATAGATTGCAAAAAAATATATATATATCAAAAAAAAAAAAAGGATATATAGCTGGGAGCGACTTCGTGGTAAGGGAACAGGAGATAGGAAGCAGTTGCACTTAGTGAGAGAATGTGAAGAAATCTTGCCTATTTTTCATTTCTTTTCGAGACCAACTGTCTTGATATGGCAGGGCAACCTATCAAATATTCTCTAATTCCAAAGAAGAGTTATTGCCTGCTGAGTTTTCTGTCTTTTCCACAAACCATAGCAGTGCTAAGCTACTTCCTTTCCCCTCTAAGCACAAAATGACAGGTTGACTGACAAAAAGATATAAGCAATCCATCCAATGTTGCCCTTATTTGCTGCATTTTGCACTACAAGGTAATGCTTCTCATCTTTCCCAACAAGGCTTCCCCGCCCCGAAATGTACAAAAATCAGCCTTGTAAATATGTAAAATCCCTATAAGTCAGTAACAAAGGAAAAAGAAAATGAAGAGAAAGAGAAAAGGAAGTCTCACTGTTTCATGACAAGAAGGAAAATGATCGCATTTTCCTTTCAGATAAGAAGAAAATAAATCAGGATTCACATATCTAGCCTGAGGTAGCTCCCAAAAGCAAGTTGGAAGATGCAAGCTGCATCTTCATCCAGAGCCTGCACATACCCCTCCTGCCCCCTGCATGTAAACCTCACCTCAGAAAGTAACACAAAAATAGACAATTATAACACACTTCCATTCCCTTTTCCCCATAGCCAAGTAAACAGGGGGTAGGAAACCTTTGGCCTTCCAGAAATGTGGGGCTAAAACTAGCACAGTCCTATACAGTTAGATGTTCTGGGTGAGGTCGGTAGGAATAAGCCAAAACATCTGTATAGTTGCAAGTTATCCATCTCTATACTAAACTACAAATGTTCTCAGTTTTCCAGAGTATTACGATTATTTTGTTTCCAGTACCCACACATTTAAATGCAGGCTTACATTTTTGTAAAGTCCAGGTGATCTCGACCAGACCATGAACTAAGGACCTTTCATTTGTTCACTGTGTTTTTCTTGCACTGACAATTTCTCTCCTTCTGCCCTTTGTCAGCTTAAACTTGAAGTAGATTTCTCTGCAAATTGCAGTCTCACCACAATCATAAACAAATTATGCTCCCTCTGTCAACATGAGAAACTAAGTCTCTAAATCATAGCATGCTGGGATTGAATTGCAACCCCTATCATCTACCACTTACAGCTATCAAAGCATATAACCGGATTAGTGGGGAAACAGCTGTATTGAGCATACATTTAAGCTCTTTTTAAACAGCAGGCTTCTTTCCCACCACAAAGCGCGCCACTTCAGATAGTCTAAATGCAAATTCCAGGGGAAATTAGAACATATTAATCCTTGACTGTCCTTATATGACTTAAATACCTCCTGCAGCCCTTTACTCACTGGAACTGAATTACAAGGACTCTGCAGAAAATACAGGACAAAAGAGATTAGAACACCTCCGCTCCACCCCCACCCCACCCCTTCACCTTCTTCCCTGGCAATTCTTGCTACAACTAGCATAGCTACTCCGCAGTAGCTCTCTCACTCTATCCTTCTGAGTGGCAAGAGCTTAAATTTATGGTGAATGCCCAGTGTGGTGTTATGGACAGAGTGATGGACTAGGACGCAGGAGACCTGAGTTCAAATCTCTACTTGGCCCCCAAAACTCACTGGGAGGTTGCACCATCCCTTAAACATCTCTCATATCTTGAAATCCCCTTGTTAGGGTCACCATAAGTTGGGTGTGACTTGATGATACATAGCACACATGGTTTCACAGTCTGATTCGCACACTTATCGGACTGTTTGTTGAGGGCAGGAACATGTCTTGCTCCAGCTCTTACTCCTTACTGTTTAAGGCAGTGGTCCCCAACCTTGGGCCTCCAGATGTTCTTGGACTTCAACTCCCAGAAATCCTGGCCAGCAGAGGTGGTGGTGAAGGCTTCTGGGAGTTGTAGTCCAGGAACATCTGGAGGCCCAAGGTTGGGGACCACTGGTTTAAGGGGAAGTAAGGGCATAATTACAGACAACAGAGCCTTTTTAGCAGATGTCTCTTTTTTTTCTGCAAAAGCTGAAAAAACCAACAAACATTGTTTTAGTACTGCCAGTCTGGGGCTTAGCTGAGGGTCTTATCTGTGTTACTGCACATGTTTCTGCCATAGGAACAGCAGGAAAAAGACTATTTACAATACTTTTATATTAAAGTAAGTTTAACTAATAATACTAATTGGTTTTAACACCTACTGTGTATTAGATTTAGCAGTTCAACTGTCCTAAATCGCTTTTGCCGGGTAAAATATATAATTAGAATATCTGGCCAAAGGAACTAAAATAATATATGGCCAACAACACTGACTCCTGATATATTAGATTATGTTATATCTTCCCAATCAAAACACTGTAATAAAAATAAAACTCTACCCTACAAGTCTAATCACTCAGCCAAACCTATTCTATTCTAACTGCATTCCCCCTGCGCCCGGAAGTGAATCTTTTGGTATAGTCAAGTTTTAATCCTCTCATTTCTTATTGTGGGAAGGTGGGGAATGATGATTTTTTCACCGAAACCCAGTCACCCATAACTATTCCAATCAAATATCATATAATATTCATGGAGTTATGCATTTTAAAGCTGTATGTTGTGTAAATTGATTTGGCATCATCCAGTTTTGTCTATCTGTTTATGAAGAGGCCACATACCATTCAAAGGATTGTGTGTAAAACCACTATAAAAGCTGTCATATGTTGTCAAGGCACCTATCTCAGAGACTTCTTTTCCCTTGAGAATAGATTTCTTGAAGCAAGCCATCCCTGACTTCCTTAGCAAAGTATTCTTTTTCCAAAGACGCATCTGCTTCAAAAGCTATGAAAAACAACAACAATTAAAAATTAAAATACTGATCTACAGAGTGGGCCACATTTTACTGCGGGGACAGGAAGTAATGCAAAGGCAACTGAACTATATTAATATCCCACAGAACCACAGAAATCTCACTTTTAATATAGTGCCATATCCTTTCCTGCAATAAACCACTGAAAAAATATTCTAAGCAGTCTGTCATGAAGTGTTTAAAGATGTTGTCCAGAAAAAAGAAGGAATAATATGTAAAAGTTATCAGGGCTATGTGTAGTGGTTAGAGTGACAGGGTGACTGACTAGGATTCAGGAGACATGGGATTGCATCTGTTTGGCCATGAAAATACATGGGTAAAAAAATTGGTTGGTTCAATACTTTCCTTCCTTCCTTCCTTCCTTTAGTGGTTAAGATGCCTGTTTAATACACTAATAACATAGAGATACTGAAACTAGCTGGAAAATTAGAGCAGGAAACTCATTTTGGCTTGATTCCAGCAATCACACACATTGGAAACAAACTAAAATAGAGTGATCCTACTTAAAACAAAAAAGTAGTATCCTCTGACAAGGACAAAGAAAAGTGAAAGTAGGAATGCTTTGGGGATGGGCTGGTTCGTTCCAGCCATTAGATCGTCTGATCACCAGTAAAAGAGCAAATCAGCCCATCCTCAAATGCCCTAACTCTTTCAGTGTGGTAAATGTATACCCCACCACAGAATCCAAATATCCAAATCAGTTATATTAACTAATTACTTCAAATTATTTTCTCACCCAGATGATTCAGTTCTTGCCCCAGTCTCTTTTGCTCCAGTTACCCCCATATGTTAATCATCAGTTCATTCTCACTGTAGAATCAGTTCAGTTCAGTTCATGTCACCATGAATAGAATTCACATCATGATTTTCTTCAGGTGGCAGGGTACGGATCTTATTGTGGAACAAGGCAGCTGATGTGTAGTGGTGAATCTTGCATAGGACATGTGCTATTTTGTACAGGAACTGTAATAACTATGCACAATATTACATTTCCCCCTGCCTTTTCCAAATGAATCATATTTCAGAGAGATGCTATTCTGTGCAGCAGTTGTAACAATCCTGTATAGCTTGGCATTTCTCTACCCTTTCTAACTTACCCCTGTGTAGGAAAGCAGCCATTCTGTACTGGAATTATGATAATATTTAGATGATACTTCTTTCACAAAAATTACTATGAAACTTCCAAGAAATCCTATAAGATATGTTGTGGGGATGGAGAAAACATGGATTTCTATGAAAATGAGATGGCAAAAATTTCATATTCCTACTTTAAATACTGATTAGATCCCTAAGTGTCATGCCTGCTTTGTTTCTGAATGCCTTTAGGAGTTGGTGTTATCATTTAAAGAAAACTAATTATGTATTAGTGATTGTTTCCCACTATTTGTATAAAGAAACATGAACTCTCTTTTCCACTCAATCTGTTTCCAAATCATCGTCATTGACAGCCAACTGTTTAACAGTCAGAGAGAAAGGAACTGAGCCCAACTTGAACCATGTTTAGATCATAAGTTTTTTTGAGATGGAACCCATGTTCTTTCATTAATAGTCATGAAGTAGCATATTGATGAATGGCTCTCACTGATCTCCTGGAAAAGTTCACCAGACCAAACGTGCTGGCCGTTCATTTGTATTCAAAAACATCACTAAGTACACTGGAAATAAAGCTTAACAACTACAGATCCTTAAAAATAATATACTGCAAACAGGGTGAAGACTTCATCTTAACTCTGGCTGCCTTGTCTAAAGATTTTTAGACACTTTTGATTAAACTGAAAAATCTTGATATTACCTCTGAAAAGCAGTCCATTTTGGATTTCTCTTTTCTCCCAGGCTGACTCCTAACTCACCAATAACACTATAATTTAGCAGAAGAGTGATAATCTGCACATGACGTTCTCAAGTCCTTTGCCATTGGATTATCTTTGAAACAAACTTTCCTGGGCCATCGTTTCTTTATGAATCGAAGGAGATGGATACTCACTGAAACTACATTCACAAAATCATCATCCGACAAGGTTTCTAGCATTTCGATGACAGACGTCCGGATCAACTTCAGTGTTAGCCCACTGACACTTCCACTCCTACAAAAGAGTTCGTATTTTTTTAAAAAAAACACAACAGTTGTCAGTACATAAATAGCAATGCTGGGTTATGTTTCAGAAGACAGCCTCATAATATTATGTAATATGTATGTGTACATAACACTCTTGGGAAGAGCTAGGTATACGGTCTTCAAGCCATGCCTTCACTTTGGGGAATTGATACCACCTACTCAGCCCCAGAGCTTGGAAAGTTCATTTTTAGAAGTAATTTGTCAAAGCTATAGGGACTCCTCAACTTTTTTGTAGTTGTTGCTAGATATAATTACCATTATAAATTCAAAAGAGCAGCTCTTGATGTTCATGTTTATGAAACACAAAATACAATTTTTATTTTGGACTTAGTTTTTAAAAAACACATTCTCTCTAGAAGCCACTGACCTGGGGTACCAAACATACTCTCTTCCTATTCATCATGTTGTTGCCTTAGCAGCCACAAAAGAGCAGCCTGAACTTAACACATGGGGGAGGGTGGTTTTATGCTCTATTGGTGAGATGAAACCCCCCCTTTGGTTGGGGCACAGACTGCCAGTGCCAGCTGCTGAACCCTGTGAATATGTCTTTTTCACCTTTAAATGAAGCTAGATACCTTAATTATAAAAGTAACTGAAAAAAAATACTGTTGTTCTGCAAAAGGAATGAATTTATTCCTGTTTCCATTATAATCAGAACAGAAATCATATATACCTCAGCTATTGCAAAAAGGAATTAACCACAAGTAATCTGTTATTTGCAACTAACTGTCTCCAGGCTCTGCTCAGTCTTGTTCAGCCTACCAGTGACAAAGCTACTGGAAGGAACCTTGTATATGCTGGAAAAGCAGAGTCCCACAGATGCGGAAAATACATTTTCTATTATTTATTTATTTAAAACTAAGAAAAGGGATTCTTAAAAAACAGATTAAGCACAAAGACTTAACAACAAAACAAATCTATTTAAAAAAACACAAGTAAAAATGCATGAGCCAAATACATAGTAGGCACCCACACTCCTTCAACCCTGCTTCAACAGCTAAGCAATTTATAAGCCAATAGCCTAACTGGCTAAAAATACTTTTGCCTGCCAGTGAACGGAAAAATAGGAATGGATCCTAGCTTATTTTCACATTGCATACTGAGCAAAAGGCTTTGTCTACATGACTGCTCATTCCCTAGCAATGCAAAACCATATCAGCTGTTGAACTGCGGTTCCTTGCCACACTGTTAGTATGCAAAGTTAATATAGTTCAGTTAACACTTTTCTTATTCTCAACTCTCTTTTAAATGGAGAAAATGTGGCTAGGTGTTCCTGTTCTATATGTACAATATTCTTGTGTTATTTTCCTTTTCTTCAGGTATTGTCTATGCTGTACAAGTATGCAAAGTTAATATAGTTCAGTTAACACTTTTCTTATCCTCATCTCTCTTTTAAATGGAGAAAATGTGGCTAAATTTTCAAAGGCTAGGTGTTCCTGTTCTATATGTACACTATTCTTGTGTTATTTTGCTTTTCTTCAGGTATTGTCTATGCTGTACACAATTTTTAAAAAACACAAACACATAGAAAAACACTTTATAAACTCTAAAAACAAAGTATGAACCTTGATACAAATGTGCACATGATTTTTCATTAAACATGGAAACACTAAACTGCCTTTAAAAGCACTAGCTTGGAAACACATAAATAAAACTTTTCATGTCTAATCTAAGAAAATACATCAGATCAAAGCCTGGAAACAACTTGTGACATGTTACTTGTAATTAATGATGTTTGCAAAAATTATGGCTGAATTACATTGTATTACAATTGTTATCTGACAAGGAATAATTTTTCTCCTTTTGGGGTACAACTGCAATGCTTTCCATATCACAGGCCAGCAGCTAGTGAATTCAGATGATTTTGCCCACTAAACCAATTCTCTTCATTATATTTTAATGAATAAAAAAGAAAATGTTACTTTTTTAACAATTGTACTTATAATGGCAACTACTTTTTAAGAAGCCTTAGGGGCAAACTAGGTCTAAATTATCTTTTAAAAGTAACTTTCAAAGCTCTGTGTAAGACATATAAAATGGATCTCTTTGTTTTAACTTAGTGATAGCTTGAACAAAGCCAGTCCTGAGGATGGCTGAAACGAAATTGCTTTGATGAAGCACCCCCACCCTCTAGCTAACCTCTGATTCTAACAAAAAACAAATCAAATTTGGCTTGCTCAATTAAAGATGGCAGCTTCAAATTTATTGCGGCATTGTACAATATTGTTTTCATTAGCACCACAGAATGAAAACATCTGGTGGAAAAATGAAAAGGTGAATCAATATTTCTATTCCCTTTTATAGCATAACAAGAATCAAATGCCGTTTAACATAAGAAGTGTACCTCTCTGGCTTTTAATTCTTTTCTTTCTTACGCACACATTTTTTAAAGGAAGCACATAGAAAGTGATGCACACAGAAAAGAAACCCCATGAGAATGAATAATATATGACCCATTCTTAAAGCAGATTGGAAAGATGATAACAGTACAGCAACATTGAACTGGATTGAGAAATCTGAAATATAATTCTAAAGAGGTCACCTCCCCATGGACTCCAACCCACCCTGTAAGAAGGAGGGGGGGAGAGAGAGACCCCTCTCTCAGGAGTCTGAACTGGATTGAGAAATCTGGAATATAATTCTAAACCCACAAAGAGGTCACCTCCCCATGGACTCCAAACCACCCTGTAAGAAGGAGGGGGGAGAGAGAGACCCCTCTCTCGGGAGTGCCATCCCTCCTGCCAACCGCTGAGAAAGAGAGCCAGACCCCACCAGTTTCCCCGCCCTGGAAGACAAGACCGCCTGGACATGACCCGTGGAATTTGGAGGGAGATTTGAAAAGACTAATGATTACAGAACCTGGGAATACCTTGGCGGGCGCTGGAGAAAAAAGGCAGGAAGTAGTGGAGGCGGGGTTGGGGGATATAAAAACGGGGGGGAAGAGAGTTGCCAGTAAGTTGGGAGTGGATCTGGGTGGAAGATCCATGGACAGGAAAGACGGAAAAACTACGAGTTCCCAAAGAAGAAGCAGATGCCCGGAGGAGGCGAGAGCTCAACCCCAAACCATCCTACTGGGGTGAGCATGAAACTAAAAGTGGAGGAGGAAGTTAAGAGAGGAAAGAGAGAGTGGAAAGAGAACGAAGGGAGAGGTTAGAATGGAGAATATGAGAGAATCAACAGAGGGAATTTCTGGAGTCCTGTGGCAGATGGGGGGAACCCCCCTCCCCAGGGAGTGTGACTGGGTGGGCGTTCAACAGGAGACACCATCCCATTGCTGGAAGGAGAGGAGGGACTATTACTGAATTCTGCTATCACCAGATAGCAGAAAGTAGTTGTTACACTACTGAACTCTGATAACCCACTAGAGTGGCCCAGACCCTGGAATAGCCAGGATAAGAACCCTTTCAAAGTCGATGACTGGACCCCCCCCCTTCAGACCTGTTGTTGAAGGGGGCCTTTCAAAGTCGATGACTGGAGCTGTTGTTGAAGGGGGAGAACATTTGGAATACTTTTGGAGACACGGGACTGTTGTTGAATACCGAGAATATTTGGAATGCCTTTGGAGACACGGGACTGTTGTTGAATACCCCCAATAAAAGTTACCCCCATTTCTAAACAGAGGAAAGTGGGTGCAAACACTTGAAAAAGAGTTGGAGCAAACTACTGAACCCTCACACACCCTCATTAATTTCACCCACGGCTCTTTCACCTTGGTCCCCAGCCTTTTATCTCTATCTGATTGCACACACTAGGGTATGCCTGAAACACAAGGGCAAAATACATTGCACACTGCCAAGGGCCACTTCAGTTTTGTTTCAAGAAAAAGCAGACAGCAAGGTTATAAGCAGCGGAGTGGGAATGGGTTGCTAAGCCTCTCCTTTTCAGTCCTCCACTCAATCTCCCCCATGCATTTTGCATCACTGGAGGAGTGAGTACCCCAACCTCCTTTCTTCATGGTGGGGAGAAAAGTACCTTAGGGACAATGCTGAATAAGCAAAGTGAAGTGTGATGCTTATTATACTGTCCCGTAGCACTAAAAGCACTCTATGGGCAGTTTACTATTAATTATGCAAGTTACACCTCAGCAAGGTGGGTACTCAATTTACCAGTCTCAGAAGGATGGAAGGCTGAGTCATGCTTGAGCCAGCTAGCTGGGATTGAATTCAGACCACGAGCAGAGTTTTGGCTGTAGTACTGCCATTCCTCCACTGAAACTCACTAACCTGAAGACTGTTTTCGTTTAAAATGAAGAAAAGAACCCTTCCTTTAATTAATTTGGGATCTAGGCAGTCGACAGTACGGATATTTTTCATGCTGTTTCACTGGTTTGGCACTTTCATAAAACTAAATTAGATACTTTGCAATCTTTCCAATTTACAGCATTTTTCCCTTTACTAGTTACTTTATTCTTTTTTTCCTGATGAGAAACCAGCTACTGTCCTAGGTTGCTGCATAAACAGTGAAATGTCTGCCACTTACGCGTCAACTAGAATGAGCATGTCTTTGGGAGATGCAGCTCCTTGGATGTACCTGGAATGAAAAGAGAGCAAACCAGATATGAAAAAACTGGAATTCCATTACAATATTGTGCGGGTGTTTGAATCTATAGAAAGTCTCATGTGTCAAACCACATGTTGCTGAATCAAACCACCACCCTTACCATCCACTGTATCCCACTGAAAACATGCAAACAAGCCCCTCTTTTCTCTTTAGCATCCTTTCTTTTGGCTCACCAGATAGCAGAAAGAAAATCTGGAAGAGTTTAGATACATTTTGACAGCACAAATGCATAAAGTTGATGGTAAAGTGATGCTTATGTCAAGTCTGCCTGGTGGCTTACTCCTGCACTTTGACTCATAGGAGAAAAAAAATCCGCCACTACAAATCCACCTATGTATCTTAAGCTCCAAACTACATGTGATGCAGAAAATTTCTGATTAGCAGCTGTGTTGCAGGAGGGGGGGCTTGTTTGTTTGCTTTGTTTTCTAATTAACAGGCCCACAAAGTGATTTTGCAGATTGAGAAAGTGGCTTTCTGGAAAAGAGCACTCAACTCTTTGCCTCCTGTGTTCTTTCTCCAATTTAAATTGCTTCACCCCACCCCCCACAGAGCTGCTAATTGAAGGATTAGAGAGGGGGGAATTAAAAACCTCTCTTTCCTTCTCCCAGAGCACCATTTTCCAAACTTCAAAGCAGCCTCATGCATCTCCTAATTAACAAGACTGAAGAACATAGAAGATCGGTGAGAATCTCCAGTGTCAAATTTAGTTTGCCTCTGATTCAGCTCCCTCTCTCCCCACCACACACAAATGCACACAGACAGACATTGCATGAACAACACATACAGATTGTGGGCTCCCCCCCATAAAACTAAAGTTTTCCAGAAGAAAAACTCATTCGCCAGAGTTTTGTAAAATTTGAACAAAACTAACACAGGCTTCATTAAGCAGAGATTAATAAACAAAAGGGGGAAAATCATGTCTTTCATGAAAGAGTTTTTCATTCTCTTATAAACCTTTTCCAACTTTCAGCTCAAACTCAGGTATAAGAAAAGAAGTAAAATGAAGTCACCTGAGTGGCTGATGGAACTCTTATTTATTTATTTAAAATATTGTTACTCCGCCTTTCTCTTTAAAAAGGACTCAAGGCTGCTGCTTACATCATTAAAAGACAATATTAAAGCTAACAACAGTGAATACACATATACAAAAAAGTATCAAACAAATACTAACTTTAAAAAACATAAGCAACGCCAAAACACATTCAAAGCAGTAATTAAAAGCCCCGTTCAGGCAGCCAGTCACCCAGGGAAAGTTTGCCTGAAGAGAAAGGTCTTTTGCTTGCTCGCACAAGGAAAAGCAAAGATGCAGCCAACCTAGCCTCTTCGCACAAGGGAAAGCAAAGATGCAGCCAACCTAGCCTCTTGTGGGAGGGAGTTCCAAAGGTTGGGAGCAGCAACAGAGAAGGCCTTGCTCCTGTATACCCACCAAACACACCTATGAAGGTGACAGGACTGAAAGGAAGGCCTCTCCTAATGATGTTAACACTTCAGCAGGCTCATAAAAGGAGACAGGGTCCTCGAGACAGCTGGTGTCCAAGCCAATTAGGGCTTTATAGATTAGAACCAACAGTTTGAATTCTGACCAAAAACAGATTGGCAGCAAATAGAGCTGCTGTAACTGGAGGCTTATGTTATCCCTGTGACCAACCACAGTTAGCTCTCTGGCTGCTGTGTTTTGAATCTGCTGAAGTTTCCAGAAGCAGCCCCACGTAAGTGTGTTACACTAACCCATCTGAGATGTAACTAAGGCATGTGTCACGGTGGCCAGATCAGACCTCTCCAGGAATGGGCGCAGCTGGCACACTAGTTTTAATTGTGCAAATGCACTCCTGGCCACCACCCAAACCTTGACATCCAGACTCAGAGATGAATACAGGAGCACCCCAGCTGCACATCTGTATTTTCAGAGGGAGTGTCACCCCATCCAGCACTAGTACAATTGCTGTAGATAAACCCCTTCCCACTTATTTTCAGAGACAAGTATGTTAAACTGTTTCTGCATGCATGAGAAATACAAAGCAAAAGCAATGTAGCATCATAAAGATAATTTCTGTGTCAGCTTTAATGGGACACAATCACTTCTTTATGGAGTGCAGTACTCTATATCCCACAGGCCACTTGTTTGAAGTGTTGTTCTTTGAAGGAGTCATCTATAGACCCTAATGGCAGTGACACTACAGATCAGCAGGCCTGAGACAGCCAAGCAGGCCTGGAATATAAACCTTGTTCCAGGTTAGTGAAATGTAGCTGTGTGTCCATGGGCCAGAAATTCCAGAATTCTGCCTGAGGGTATTTCTGGAGACTCCTGGGACACGGAGTCCAAAAAAGGGAAACCACAAATGGCACACCTCTAGACACAGGTTTATATACACAGTGTATCTGGTTGTAGGGACCCCATAAAAAGAGACACAAACACAAACATTTTATCTCACTCTCTTTTCCCCGTTTCTCACACTTGAAAAACATATTGAAAGAACCTACCACTGCAATAATTATTAAAGAAGAAAGTTAGAATATCTTGTCAGCCATTTAGTTCCATTGCCTACAAACAAACTACTTTTTTGTGACATCTGAAATTAACAAACACACATTTTACAATCAACACCTTCTTTGTTTGGCATAACTTCAACAAAGGTGACATAATTGTGATTCATCTTCTAAGAATATTTAAGGAGACAAAGAAGAATAAGAAAAGATTAACTGTTTCAGGTTGTGGATAAGTTAGGCTGGCTCACAACTCAAGCATACCATGGTCTTCTACGGACGTCATACAGATCTATCTTGTTCTGAGTCCGGCTTTTATCCACCCATGGGGATGCTGGAAATAAAAGAAACATGCAATAAATATAATTCAAGGGGAATGACACCATCAAATAATTCAATAAGGCTTTACATTTCAAAGGCAGTACACTTTAAATACCAGATCCACATTATTTTATGAATATCACAATAGCATGGATATCATAATCACACACATAGCTGTAGATCATCTAACTATAGCTGTTTGGATTTTGACAAATGACAAAGGGATGTAATTGTTTTTGGCTCCAATCATATGTATCTATTAATCAGGTCCTATGTTTAGTATATTTGGGGTACACAAATAGAAGGGTTGTGGACACATGAACTGGCCTGGGCTTGCTGATATGTCACAGATGGACTGAATTAATGACCTGTGGAATGGCCTGCTGGTTGAATGGAACAAAGGAAATAATTGGGTTGTTTCATAAACAGCATGGTTGATTGTTCCCTGTTGGCAAAAAGGACTGAAGATTGTCCCCAGCCTGGACTTTTGCTCAATGGCTACAGTCTCAATGGTATCAGTCCACAGTTTGTTTCTCAGTCAATTGAGCTGAGTAATGCTAATCTGTTCTTTATGTGTACTTTAAATTAATGGAGGATGTTTAAAGTAAACTATATTTATGTGTATACCATATTATATCTCCTTCTTGGATGCAGACCTTAACATGGTGAAGGGGTCTGGGTGGGTCAGAGAAGCTGACAACAATGCCATCAGGTGGCTGGACTCCATTATGATCCTGGGCTCCTTACAGGGTCACCCAAGGCAGAATGTTCACATCTGAGGCACCAGACTAAGATGCACCCACCTTCTTCAGAGGCTAATGGCCACATGAGAAGAGAATAGATTGTTTCAATGGTGATGGGATGGAGAAATTTCTGGAGGGCAGCTGCTGGGCAGCAGTGATAGCTGAAGGTGCCCTGGGGAGAGGATCTTTCAGAGGCAGTGACATTCAAGCTTACTTTTATTAGAGCTGTGCAGATGAAGGCAATGGTAAACACTGCTGCACGTTTCTTATCCTGAAAACCCTATACGAGACAGTCCAAAATGAAACAAGAGATAATGCTGGAGGAGGTGATTCCCAGATTGGAAAGCACTTGGTCAGCTACTGGAGAAGAGCAAAAGGCAACTACAAATAGTGCTGTCACTAATGAAATAACTAGATTAAAGCCAAAAGGCCTTCTAGTGGCTGAAATGCGCAGAGGTGAAAGGAAGGTCTGATGCTGCATAGCACATACAACTGAAACATGGAACATGAGAGGTATGAATCAAGGTAAACTGGAAGATTGGAAAGCACTTGGTCAGCTACTGGAGAAGAGCAAAAGGCAACTACAAATAGTGCTGTCACTAATGAAATAACTAGATTAAAGCCAAAAGGCCTTCTAGTGGCTGAAATGCGCAGAGGTGAAAGGAAGGTCTGATGCTGCATAGCACATACAACTGAAACATGGAACATGAGAGGTATGAATCAAGGTAAACTGGAAACTGTAAAGCTACTGCTGCACGTTTCTTACCCTGAAAACCCTATACCAATTGCATCATGTCAATTTCTCAGTACAGGTCAGAGAGGGACAGTTTCTTCATTTCAATGTTTTCATACAAAGGAATAGCTTCTCTACTAGTTCTTTTATAACACCACAAAACATCCTAACTGGGACAAACACTTATTTTACAATGAAGTCTTCAGTGGGACACCTTATAGTCCTCCTTGTTTCATTCTCTTTAACACTGTCAGCTTGGAAATAGTCTCTGTAAAACACACACTATGGTGGAAAACACTCTTGAGTATATGATCTGATATTATTTCGACGTTTGGTGTCAGTGAAGTAAAGTAGACTGGAATAGGACATTTTCAGTCAGACAACCAAGTGTTTTATGCTGAAAATGACACAGACCAAATGCAGTGGCTCTAATACTAAGGAAAGCGGTAACATAGGCAGTTAGAGAGTCTAATGCAGGGTCTGACTGAATAATATCCACCAGACTTCTGGGAAAATCCATTACCACAATCAGATTTCCATTACTAAACTCAACTGGCCATGACTCAGAAGAATTGTGGCTTAATAGTAGGGCCAATCTAATGCCTGTACTAGGCCTCTTGGTAAGGGAGGTAGTGTCTAGCTGCGTCATGTCAATTTCTCAGTACAAGTCAGAGAGGGACAGTTTCTTCATTTCAATGTTTTCATACAAAGGAATAGCTTCTCTACTAGTTCTTTTATAACACCACAAAACATCCTAACTGGGACAAACACTTATTTTACAATGAAGTCTTCAGTGGGACACCTTATAGTCCTCCTTGTTTCATTCTCTTTAACACTGTCAGCTTGGAAATAGTCTCTGTAAAACACACACTATGGTGGAAAACACTCTTGAGTATATGATCTGATATTATTTCCTCTACGCCTACTGCTTACTTCAAAGCAATTTGTGATCATGCCACTTTGCTAGCTGCAAAGCAAGTGATCTTCACAATGCAGAAAGTATTTTTCTTTTGCAGTTATTAAAATCTGAGAATAAAAATAATTTGTGGCATCCCTCATTACATAAAGTCACATCACACATTAAGGGCACTGTGTATTTCCTGCTATTACCACATTTTTTCCCTTCAGGAGCATAGTACTTCAGTGTTCCATGCCAAAGCAATCAGACTTGCAAATAAAGCCCTTTTGATAACCAATCAGAACAGAAATGCAAGCTCATATGCAAAAAGACACCAAGTACATGCTGGTATATATAGTCTGTTTACCTGTTTGGGGAACCCCAGTTCCAATGATGTGTTAAATGTATCATCTAATTTCAACCTTAGATTATGCATACACATATACACAGGGATGGAGGCATCAATCAAGTGTGGTGGTGGCGGCAGTGGTTGTTATTATGTCACTTTTTACCCAGCTCTCAAAAACCAACAGTATAAAACAAGAATAGAAACAAAACATTGAAATCTTCTTTGCCTAAATTCTGTGGCATAAAGCTTATGACATCATTAGCCAGCGCTAATTTTTTTGGAAATTAAAAGTTTCCCTATCTCATCATTCAACCTCCACATGTTCCAAACAATGAAAGGAAGTATTTGGAACTGCTTGGGCCTTGGGACCAGAGGAGAAAATATTTAATTTCCAAAACATTGTCCTGGCTCATGAAGTTATCAGCCTTATGCTGCAAAATGTACACAAACTGGATTTCAGCCACAGTTTAAAACAGATGAAAATGTTTTTAAAAAGGAAAGCCCTGCCGTAACAGCATAGTTCTAATTGCCCATCAGAAACTGAACAAGAACGTAGCAACTTCTGACTGATTTCATAACCTCTCAGGATTTCTGGTGACACAACAGAAACTCCAGAGAAGATCTCCAGTTCCGGGCAAGCTCGTAAGGGAAGAGGTAGTCTTTCAGACATAACTGTAGTATTTGCTCCCACCAACTGTCAGTATGGAAAAAGCTACTTAGCATCTTATCTGGTCTGACTGGAGGCCACACATTAATAGGAAAGATTTCACACTAGGTTTCAAATACTTTTCAAGGGCAGTCCCAGAGTTGCTTTAGAGTTGTCCAACCAAAAAGCAACTAGGATGTGGGTCTCTGTGGCCAAATGTGCTTTCTCTAACTGAAATTGCACAGAGACACTTGTGGTTTCACTCAAGTTCTAATTTGTTCCAATACTAAGTTTGTCCTGTCCCATTTCGACATCTGTTTGTAAACTGAATAAAAATCTGTAACTCTATTTTCCCTAATGTTCATCTTTTTGTATATACTTTTTCTGATATTCATATACTCCTAATGGTTATACAGTGGTACCTCACAAGACGATTACCCCTCAAAACGATGAATCTGTATGTCGACGCCGTTTTGCATCCACCATTTTGCTTTGCAAAACAGTGATTTCTATGGGGGAATTTCACTGAACGATGATTTGGTCTGTGCTTCGCGGACCGTTTATTCGCAAGACGATGATTTAAAACAGCTGATTGGTGGCTTGATCTTCTCAAAACAAGTGTTTTCGGGTGAGTTTTTCACAAGACAGCAATTTAAAACAGCTGATCGGCACTCACAAAATGGCTACCCTATGGGCGATCTTCACAAAATGATGAGGTATTTTCCCCATTGGAATGCATTATATGGGTTTCAATGCATTCGAATAGGGAAATGGTTTCACATGACGATGATTGCGCTAAACAACCATGGAATGGATTATCAGTATCATGCGGGGAACCACTGTATCTGTGAATTAATCCCCCTAATATTGGGTACTTTTCATGTTCAGTTTTTCCTGATATACACATTTTTGTTAGTGCTCTTCCTCAATATACATAATTTTGCATGATGTTTTTCAGTCTGTGAACTGCATCATAATATTTAAGAAGTATGAATTGGGTTTCTTCTGTTAATTTGAGATGGAAGGGCAAGCCTAACTAATTTTTTTCCTATCCCTAAGCATACATGGAGATCTCGGCATCATGCGCCTCATGTTGAAGACATTTATCCCAGTCCAACACTTGCAAATCTCAATGGATTTAATTAACATGGCTGTTTGGAAGAGTGCATTGGATTACAATCTTAAAGGTCTTTTTTCTTCCCCAAGTGGGAGAAATTTAAAGTGAGACTTTAAGAATAATAATAAAGAAAGGGAACATAAATGTGTGACTAAATCAAGCTCCAGTTTCTAGATTTGTTCAGTGTTGACTATATTTAATTAGATTTTGATGGCATATAAATCAATGTTTTTTTATATTTGCTTTTGCTCTTTCACCAAAAATATACAGAATTATTATGTCTCCTCATAAATTCCAGTTTCATTAAGGAAAAGTAATGTAATAAAAGAAATAAATCTAGTAAAACTGTAACTTCATGGCTTACATTATGCCCTTCTCCTGTTTTATTTATAAGATAATTACACTTACTAATTCTCTCAAATGAAAACCTATAGTGTAGGGTATAATGTGCCTATTGATGAGATTAAATGATTGTATCTTCATTCCTCAGGCCTCCAATGGCCCTCAATGGTCCAGACTAGTCGGAA